TTACATTCTACAATTTCATTTATATAAAATTCAACAAATGTAAGCCAATTTATGTTGACAGAAAACATGTCAGTGATTGCCTGGGCACAGAGCTGAAAAGGAGGAAAGAGGTATTAGGAAACTTTCTGGAATAATGGATATTCATTATTTTGACTATTACAATGGTTTCATAAGTATGTCCATATGTCAAAAACTTTATCAAATTGTACACGTTAAGTATGTAGAGTTTACTGTACATCAGACATCAATTAAAACCGAAAAATAGATAATAGTTCAAAACACACACACACACATGCAAATACATCCCCAAATCGAAACCTAAATAGATTTCAGCAGCTGCCCAATGTAAGAGATAATGATGAGTTTGTGTTGAGCAAAATTAACTATCTGCTGAAATAAATAATATTCATCAGAGAAAAGTTAACAGAATCCATAGTCCCTACAAAATACCAATAACAATGTCAAGAATGTAATAAAAAATTATTAGACATAGAAAGAAATAGGAAAATCTGATCTGTATACCAGAAAAAAAACAATCAAGACCAATACTAAAAAGATTACAAGAAGCTATTACTACTACATTCAAAACATTAAAGAAAATAGGCTTACTGGCAATTTCAGGAAAGAAATGGAATTATAAGAACAAATCTCATGGTAAAATAACCAAATAGAACAAGACAGAAAGTCCATCTCTCTCTCTCTCTCTTTAAATTTTTTTGTAGTTGAAGATGGATAGAATGCTTTTAATTTTATTTGTTTATTTTTATGTGGTGCTGAGAATTGAACCCAGTGCCTCACACATGCTAGGCAAGTGCTCTGCCACTGAGCTACAGCCCCAGGCCAGAAGTGTCTCTTTATATAAAATGATCCCAATGTGTAAAGTATAGGCATCACTTTCAGAGGGAGGAAGAGACTATAATTGTGATGGGGCTAAAAAATTAATAGATAATTTCGATTTCTCATTTCTAAAGATTAAAGATTATTTTCAAATTAGGTAGTTAGAAACTTTAAACTTAAAAATATCAGCAAGGTGGGCAGGCACAGTGGCACAATCCTTAATCCTAGTATGCAAGTACTGGGATTTTAAATTTTCAAGGGAAAACATTTTGTTATTAAAATGTCTTCTCTTGAAATTTTAAAATTTCCTGTGGCACCCCTGTGAGTTCACTGTGTCACGCAAGATAGACTCAAAAAAGAGTTTTTGAATGGTAAAACTAGTCCACTGTGTGCTTACTCTTAATTTATCAATTAGCTAAATGAATTAATACATATTTTAAAGATAATACAGTCATGTTTTTTAAACAAGTACTACCTTATGGGATCACAAATCCCTATTCACACAATTTTTAAAAATGCATTTTTCAAACAAAAATTCAAATATTTAAGGATTCATTTATTTTTTCTTTTTTTTTGGGTACCAGGAGCACTCAAACCACTGAGCCACATCCCCAGCCCTATTTTGTATTTTATTTAGAGACAGGGTCTCACCCAGTGCTTAGTGCCTATCCATTGCTGAGGTTGGCTTTGAACTCTTGATCCTCCTGCCTCAGCCTCCCGAGCCACTGGGATTACAGGTATGTGCCACTGCAACCGACAAGAATTCATTTTTTGAAAACAATTTTCAAAGAGTGAATTTCAAACTATTTAACTGCCATTGTAGCCATTTTTAGTATGATATGAACTGAGAGACACAAATCAAGGATGCTAAGACATTACGTATAATAAGTGTTATGAAATAAATTCTCTAGGAGCCATGTTTAATCCACAATTAATGAGCACCTGCTAGGCATTACATGTAAGTGCTAGGAATGAAACAATGAATAAAATGGACAAGAGTACTTTCTCATGGGTTACATTCTAGTAGAGAGGGAAAACAAACTAAATGAGTAAATTAAAGTGCAGCCATAATATACCATAGGAGGGAAAAGAATGAACACAATTAGCAAATGAATCCTTTTCTATTTCCTTGCCCCATTCTCAAATGGAGGATGATCCAAAGTGCTCTTTATTAAGGGCAAAGCCGAGGAGGCAGGGATAAAAGAAGTGAGATCAGGTAAGTAAACAGTTGAAAATCCCACCTCCAACATGATTTCAGGAATTGGAGATATTAGAATATGGGTCCTCACTATTCTCTAGCCCAGTCTGAACTGGGCTAGCAAAAAAGCCCAAGTCAGATTATCTTGGAAATCAGTGCTGCCCTCTGGAACTTAGAACCCACATTGCAGGATTTGAAGATAGGATGTATATATATAGAACAGAGGTTAAAATTTTCAATAAGGTGCCCCAGAAAAGCATCAATGAGAAGATGACATATGAATAGAGACCTGAAGAAAGTGAAGAAGCAAGCAGTAAAGACTCTGATGTCATCCTCATCAAGTCTCAGGCCCACTGACAAAGCCGATATCAAGGGCCATACAATAGTGTCAACTGCTGTATCTATTGGAAATTTGATATCAAGTCTTCGAAATCAAGTAATGTCTGAAGACACTGTAGGTCCCAGTTTTATTACAACAAGAGCATAAATTTTTGTGTGCTTATACTGGCCTTTAACATACTGTATTTGACATACTATATTTCTTATAACAAGAGGGCTAAAAAGGATTTGTCATTTATGGTTGGACAGCACTGTCAATAAAAACATAAAGGAGGGAAAAGATAGAATTGTTTCTTTATAAAATCAATAAGAGCAACTCATTTTAATGAATGTGGAAGGCAGAAGAAGGAATAGATTGTTTATTTCTCATTTCTTTCCCATCAGAGGGTACTCAGTTTTCTACCTCGTACCCATTTTGAAGAGAACTGGGTTCAGATAAGTAGCAGAGTCAAGAGTGTAATCTATGAGCATTTTCTCATTGATAGAAAAAATGGTTTCTTGGATGAACAAAAATCAGAAACAGGGCTAGAGACATAGCCAGTTGGTAGAGTGCTTGCCTTGCATGCACAAGTAGTTCCATAATTTCTCTTATTTTCTTCTATCTTTTTCTTTCTTGACCTTTCTTTAAATCCCCAGCACCACAAAAAAAAAAAAAAAGAAAGAAAGAAAAAGAAAAAAAAAATAGAAAAAAAACCCTATCATGTACCAGTGTATCTGAAGATGACGATGATGGCAACATTAAAACAATTAATAACTGCTGCTCTTGACATATCTGGACATTACTCTAAGTATATGTTGTTGTGTGTATGTATGTGTGAGTATAAATAAATTAAATTCCACAACAACCCTGAGGTAAGTTCTCATTAACAACTGATGCACTGAGACTCAAAATAAATAAGATCACAATTAATGAATTAAGACACTGCTCCCCCATGACACAGCTAAGAACTTAAGAATCAATTTTAGATTTCTCTGCCTCCCAGGTCAGTAGAATAAGAAAGCCTGGAGTGTTCTAACTAATAAGTCAGACGCAGAACTAGTGAAAAACTAAGTATATTTGAGAACAAATGACCCTCGCCAGTGATAATTGTAGCCTCACTGACCTCTGGGATTATGTCATCTAGGAGGTTCCAAAGAATCAAATGCCAAAAAGAAAAATGAAATATAATATAAGGCAAAACAGCCAGAATCCAAATCCATATGATACAAAATTACTAAAAATTACTTGTAATATCACTCATTTATTTGATTTATAAATAAGTAGCTTTAGAATAAAGATTAAGATTTTATTATTCTCCTATCAGCGAGCGACCTCTAACAACCAGGCCAATCACTACTTTGAAAAAGTAGTTTTTTCACTATCAGATATAAAGGAAAATAATATGATTCCATGTCCCTATCTGTAATAGAACAGAGCTCAAATATTAATATGCTACTGAAGTAATTCAAACCTATTTGTAATCTGTCAACCCCATAAATCCTCAAATTCCACTCTTCCTTACTCCTATCTCCCCCAAATAATTCCATTGACAGATAAAGTTTCTAAGAAATCCCTAAGCTTGGTAGTTTTTTTTTAAAAAAAAATATATATATATACACACACACACACACACACACATCTATCTATCTATATATATAGATATATGTACATATATGTGTATATATATGTGTGTGTATATATATATGTGTGTACGCATACACACACACATTATTTCAAAACACACACAAAATATTTCAAAAACTCTGAAAAGACTGTGAGGTGTGATACAGCTGAAAATTAGTTTTCCCCCAGTGAATATAGAGAGCTAAGAGTAGTTCCATAACTTCTCTTATTTTCTTCTACCTTTCTCTTTCTTGACCTTAACAAAAACATCACTTAAGATACTGAGGTAAATAATCATGTAAAAAAGCCAAGAGAAAGCTAAAAGCTTTTCTTAGATATTTATATCCGTGTGAAAGAAAAAAGTCATTATTTCCCTCAAATCAAAACACAATTACCCTTTCATGAAAAAACTCACAAATAGGATGAAGAATTCAAGCAACATAAAATCAAAATGCCTTTTAAAACCTTAGAACCAGTCTGAGTAGAGTCCTGTGACAGTCCACCAAATAATACACTATCCTGTGTCCACTTTAATGTTCCAAAGACTTGCCGGCACCAACTCTCACTCTCTGGGAATACCCATTGCTATTCTACAGGCATCCTGCCAACTTCTCCTCCAATTCCAGAGAAGTTTCTCTGGGACAAATCATCTGAGGGAGCAGTGGTAAGAAACAGCTCTAACTTGCTAATGGTATAAAAACCACATACCTGTGATAGGAAAGACAAACTTTCAGAAAGAAAATTTGTTTAAAATCCTGCATTTTATTTCAGTTATCATTGTTTTATTCCTCCCTCTTCCTTCATTTTAGACATCAGCATGATCACCAAGTTATATCACCTTAGAAACAAGTGCTTACTTGTACTAATTGTTACTCAAAATTGTTTTGATTCCTTTAAGAAGTAAATTCAAAAGAAATTTCAGAACATTAGCTAGGGAATTTATAGTCCCCAAGGTACTCTTTGGGGTTAAAACTAAAACATCATTATCACAGAGATAAAAAAAATCATCATTAATTCCTTGGTTTTTGTACTCTTAGTCTTATGAATTTGCGTGTCATCCTTACGCAGGGGCCATGCTAATCTTCTCTGTATCATTCCAATTTTAGTATATGTGCTGCCGAAGCAAGCACTCTTAGTCTTATGAATAGGTGTTCCTCCAAAAACTAATCTGATATTGAGAGACAACTGTTTTACAGAAGAACCCGTCATTTCACGAAGGACTCAGGGCAAGTTTCCTTTAAGTAGAGCCCATCTATCTTCACTTTTAAGTTCTATTTTTAAAATTTTGAGTAGTATCAACTTTTCCAGATCCACATCTACTGCAAACAGTGAGATCCACCCAGTGGTGTGCTAGAGTAGATATATGGTTTAAAATTACATTTAAAATTAAATCATATAAACTCAAAATTCAGTTACATTGAAAACAAAATAAAATTCACCATTCTTAAGCATGTTATTCTGCGACTACTCCCATCTTGTATGATGGAAGCATTGTACACAGTGTAAGCTGCACTTCTCTTCCATACCACATTCACTGGCATCCCACTGAGGACTTGAAATTGCCCATGGTGACAGTCTGTACATGAAAATCAAAATATGCTACAAAACACAGAATGTCCTATTGTTGTGTTGATTATCAAGATGTAAGAAAGTCATAGAGAAAATGTTGAAAATTCAAATTAAAGTGTACCATTTATGTAGCCAATCCATGTGAATAGCAAAAAAACAACAACAACAACAAAAAAAAAACAACCTGAGGAACTATAAAAACTACTATCCAACTCAGAAAAAAACTCACTCTTCATTCAACCTATGTCTGATGTTTCACTTTTTGTCTTCCTCATTGACATAAAGGAAAATATCAACCAACATTCAAGTTGGAACTATACTTTTTCAGTTATAACACTGGTTTCATTATAGATATGAGAATTCAATAAAAATTAACAAAAACATTCTTTAAGAATGCTTAAATTTGTGTATCTTCTTGTACCTGGCATAAGAGTGGGCACAAAGGATTTGTTTGCAGGGGACACATATTTTCTTCCAATTATCTTCTGGAGGCAGTTTAGAGACTACTGCTTACAAAATCAATAACAAACTTAAATATAAACTCTACAATTGTTTCTAAATATACACTGATAAGAATTTCTGTGCCACACTAACTACTCCTGATAAGCCTCAGATACATTCCTATAAACCTGATGATTCTTGCTTTTACTTAATTTCCATATCCCTCATTCAAAGGGCAAAGTGATTTTAGTAATGAAATCAGTTACTGGGTCCTTTTGCTAGAGACAGTTCAACTGGATCAAGCAGTATGCTGGTAAATGTAAACGGTAAAACAACTGCTTTCAGACTGGGATATGTATGTATGTTCAGTTTTATAGATATGAAGCATGTATGAACATAATTAAAAATAATAAAGACATAGTATTACTTATGATAAATTCCATAAAACCATTTAATTCTTACAAAATGTTTTCATTGATATTTGCCAAACTTATATGTTAGTTGCCAAACTATATTTATAACTGTTAAACGAATGTAGTTCTGACATGAATGTCAGTTAAGACTAGAGGACAGCAAACTAAGTAAGGATTGGACGATAAATATCTTAGGCTTGTGAAATATATAGTCTATGTCACATCTACTCATCTCTGCCAATGCAGCATCAAAGCAGCTGTAGACACCATGTAAATAAATGTACACAGTGAGGTTCCAATGAAATTTTATTAACAGAATCAGGCTGCTGGCCAGGCACAGTCTGCTGACCTCTGGTTTACTCCACAGCAAAACAAGGAAGATGTATGTCAGAATTTTGCTTGTCAATTATGTAAACTGTTTCTTTGTTTAAATGTGTAACAGTTTTAAATTACTGGAAGAATATGCTATCATTTTTGATACTACTTACAATGAAGTAACTAAAGAAGTTTAACACACATTTTCAACATTACTTTCTTAAATCTAGAAAATCAACAAAACAATAAATCAAGCCATTTGATTTTAATATAATTTATTTGATTATAAGTTCATATGATTTAATTTTTTAATATGGGCTATGTTTCACTACCAGTGCACAAACTTCTTGCATATTTAACAATATTTAGCAGTCAGCTCTCACAAGTGGAGCTAGCTCCAGCAAGCCACTGGATGTTAAAGATGGGACAATCCAAACATCAATGGATAGGTGTCACTGGACCAGCAGTCATCAAATTTGTTTAAACCAATGGCTCATAACAATACTTTAAAAAATACACAAGTAATTGGTCACTATTAGACAAAGCTACAAAGCCAACTCATTATTGTAAAAATTGCTGAATGAGAGGGAAAGAGAAAAATCAACCACTCCCATTGTGTGGATACTACTATTTGGATCCTAATTCAAACAAACAGTAAAAAATAAGCCGATAAACATTTATGATATTTCTGAGAAAAGTAAAAATTTGAAAAAGGTCTTATTATCTCATGATATTCATGGATTATTAATTAAAGGTAGGATAATACTATTGTAATCATGACAAAAATAGTTTTTGATCTTTCAGAGACATATACATTTATGATGAAATAATATGATATTGGAGAGTTCCTTCAAGACAGTAGGAAAGAAGCAGCAGTAAATGGGAGTCTAGATGAAATAAAACTGACCATGAGCAGGTATTGTTGAAGCTGGGTGACAGACATGAACATTAATTATTCTAATTCATTTACTTTTGTGTGTTGAACTTTTTCTATAATAGAAAATGCTCTGAAATATTAAAATGCTTCTATCCATCTTACTGACAGTAAAAGTCAAATTCCTACTGCAGGCCTCCAGTAAGGATCTCTGATATATCTCCTGACCCCTCCTCTAACACTGCCTTCACCACCATCCTGCTCCAGTCACACTGACCCCAAGCAATCCCGCAAACTCCCCCGCCCCGTGCTCTCCTATGGGCCTTGCACTGGCCATCTACCTGCTTTAAGTGCTTTCCCCAGGCATCCTACTCTTATCTCCTTTAAGTCTGCTCAAATGTCCTTTTCACAATATTTCTCTGACCATCATATTTTTAATTGTCTTTCTTCCCCACATCCAGCATTTTCATTTCCCCATATAAGGCTCTACATTTTTTTCATAGCACTTATGCCCTTTCAAAAACACTAGGTGAGAGTGGGCGGGTGCTCTTGGAGTGCTGCACAGTGTTGGTGGAGAGCTATTGTTCTACCTGATCCAGTTAAGGAAAGTTTTACCAAAGGGAGTGAACAGAATATATGTGAAACATTTTGACATAGGATCTGAAGGTTGTACATTTTTATGAATCGAATCCTTGGCCTCACAGATGCCAATCCAATGCTGCATCACTGAGCTACATCTCCAGCCCTACACTGTATCCCTTTAAGGTCATCAGTTTTCCCCATCATTTGTTATGGTGGCATTCTTAAATCTCTACACTGTAAAGGAATGATTAATCCATTAGGTCGGTGGCTGCTTTCTTAAAGAAAGTCATAAAACTTAAGTGCAAATGGGCTAATCTGTGATAGAGCTATAAGCTATGAATTCTTCTTATCCCCTGAGCTAAGGTGCAGAGGTTTAAACAAGACTTTAAGTAACATCCACCAACAAGCCAGGCCAGTGAAACCTACATCTAGTCTGTGTGCATGGACTTGGAGAGCTATCTACTTTCATACTTCATATTTAGACCTGAGCTCTAGGGAGGCAGGTTTATGAAGGGAGTGTTACCTTGTGCACCACCTTTACTCTCAGCTCAATGGAATTTGTGACCACCCTGGCAGACCTCCAAGGGGAGTGCAGTTGTCCCATCTGTCTGGATTACTTGAAAGACCCAGTGACTATTAACTGTGGGCATAACTTCTGTTTTGACTGCCTCAATCTGTCCTGGAAGGATCTAAAGGATTCCTTTCCCTGTCCTGTCTGCCAATTTTGGTTTCCACAAAGCAAGTTCAGGAGGAAGCCCCAGCTCTGTAATTGGACTGAAATTGCTAAACTATTCCAGATCAGAAAAAGCAAGAGGAAGAGACAAGAAAATGCTATATGTGAGAAACATAATCAATTTCTGACCCTTTTCTGCATGAAGGATCTATAGATTTTATGTACCCAGTGCAGTTTCTCTGCTGAACATCACAGGCACTACATTTGTCCCATTAAGAAAGCTGCCACCTACCACAGGAGAATTCTAGAATCTAGCATTCAGCCATTGAAGAATAATGTGAAACAAGTTGAAAAAGTGCTAATTCTGAAAGGCAGGAAATCCCTTGAGCTGAGAAAAAGGGTAGAATATAGAAAAGAAGAAATAAATTCTGAATTTGAGCAAATTAGATTGTTTTTACAGAATGAGCAAGAGGCTCTGCTTAAGCAGATACAAGAAGAAGAGATGAACATTTCATCAAAACTAAATGAAAACCTTGTAACTTTTTCAGGTCATGTTTCCACATTAAAAAACACTTAATGAAGGAAATAGAGAGCAAGTGTGTACAGTCAGACCTGGCATTACTGAAGCATGTTAAGAGTATACACCAAAGGTATCGAAACCTAAAATTCCCTGAACTTTCTTCATGTGGGTTAAAGAAATATGGTTTCCATCTTCCTCCACAGTATTCTGGCTTGGAGAGAATCATACAGCAATTTCCAATAGATGTAAGTTTAGATCTTGACACAGCTTATTGTCTCTGAGGATAGAAAAAGGGTAAAATATGGAAGAACAAAACAAAGTGTTTGTTATAACCCAAGGAGATTTTATCTCTATCCTGCTGTCCTGGGTTCTAAGACATTTAATTCTGGTACACATTACTAAGAGGTAGACGTAGGGAACAAACCTCAGTGGACATTGGGTATGTGTCAAAACTGTCTTCCTAGGAAATGGAGGAATCGGCCATCAGTCCTAAATGGCTTCTGGGCATTGGGGCAATATTTTGAGAGTGGTTATGTTGTGTTTGGTCCTAAAAAAACCCCGCTTCTGCCAAGTACCAAAATTCAGTAAGATTGGCATTTTTTTTTGGGGGGGGGGGACGGAGGATTGAATTGGGTAAGATTTCCTTTTATAATGTGGATGACAGGTCTCTCCTGTAGAGTTTCAATGATTCTTCTACCAAAACCAAGTGGCCTTACTTCTATGTTGGAACAGATTCTGAACCT